GACTGGAGTGCAGTGGCACGCTCCCAGTCACTGCAGCCTCGACCTGCTGGACTCCAGCGATCCTTCCACCTCAGCCTTCCAAGTAGCTGGAACTATACAGGCATGCGCTACCACACCCGGCTAATTTTTTTGATTTTATTGTAGAGATGAGGTCTCGCCAAGTTGGCCAGGCGGGTCTCGAACCCACAGGCTCAGGCAATTCACTCACCTCGGCCTCCCAAAACGCGGGATTACAGGTTGAGCCACCGAGCCCGACTTGTCACTTACCTTTTGCTCCGTTCGCATTAGAAATGTTAGGCCAAGGAGGACAGGAACTAGGTGTCTAGTTCATTCCATCACGCAGCACCTTGCCTAGCACGTGGTAGACGCAACAAATCTCGGATGAATCAGTGTCTTCCTGGCATTTTATATATAACCACTGGAGTAAAAAAAATTCTGCTCCATTGTACAATAAGAAAAACCAAGAGTCAAGCTTTTAACTGAGCTAGTAGCTGAAGGCAGAATTATAATTCATGTCTACGGGATCCCAGAGACCCTCACTCTCAAACACCAGTCATTCGGCTAGTACAATGTGACCCGGCAGAGTCCTCAAATCCAGAGAGGTGGCGGTATTCCCAGTAGGCACAGTGCTCGGAGGCGTGGCCAGGCAATGGGACGGCCTGGGTGCCGGAAGACAGATCGAAGACTACATATCCCAGAAGGCTCGGCAGGGCGCCGCTGATTGGCGGAAGCGAAACGGTGGCAGCGCGATGACGTTCAGGGACGCTCGCGCGCGGGATTTAAACTGCGGCGGTTTACGTGGCGTTAAGACTGCGTAGAATTGTGGTTTCCTGGGCCTTCGCGTTTCTCTTCCCGGCCGACTTTCCGAATGCTCATGGACCCGTCGCTACAGGCCCACCTGTTTCCTGGTGTCGCCATCAAGATCCAACGCAGTAATGGTGAGGAGCGGGGTCCCGAGGCCAAGGCGACCCGTGGGAAGGCTGAAATTACTGCCCCGCCTGCAAGCGGCAGGCCTTGAGACACTGTTGGAGATTCCTCTCCCAACACACTCTCAGGGTCCGGGTCTCTGTATTGGCAGTCAATCTTCCGGGGCTCAGGTGCTTGACTTGGGTCCCTTCCTCGCCCTCAGGGAGAGGGCGGAACTTTCCCGCGGTCTTTGGACCTCCCAGAGAAGTTAGGATTAGATTAACTTCCAAAGTTCTCTCCTGAAAATACTTTGCTCTTCTAGGGACTCGGCTTTCTGGCCTCTCTTTTAACAAATATTGCCCAGTGACCGTATGTCAGGCACTGGGATTCTGGATAAACGAGACACAACCCCTGCTCTTGAGGAGTTGTAATTCAATTCCCTCTTTTGGTTAAGCAACTTCTGACAGGCCTAATACCTGTGTCATTAGGAAAACGGTCAGACATGACCTCTAGAAGTCAGTTAGGAAAAGAGGGCCAAATCCTCAGTGCTGTCTTGAGGAACAGTTTACCCGAGGACTATAGGGACCACCTTTTGTGTGCTTTTTTGTAGGCTCTGTCTTGAGTGGAGATGAATCCTTATGCGGTGCAGCTCGATTTTAAGACCTGTCCCTTGCCCACCTCACTGTGGCATATTCTAAAGGTGAAGCCCCAGGAGGTTTATTTATCTATTCGTGTAAAAAAAAAAAAAAAAGATAAAAAGGCAGCTGCTCCTTTGTTCAAGTAAACTCCACATTGGTCATCTCTGTGGGATCTTAAAATTGAAGCCCTCATAAAACAGATGGATTACTGTCCTTTTCATGCTTTAGGCTTAATTCAGAGTGCTATCATAAGGACTGTGGACTTGGAGAAATCCTGTGTTTCAGTGGAATGGACAGAAGGAGGTGCCACAAAGGGCAAAGAGGTAGGTTCTAGAAGAATGCCTCTACCACATTTAATATCTTCCTATGCAAAGAATCTATGTGGAAATAGGATTTGTGAGAGCCTGATTTCTGATGCTGTGCTCCTTAATCTAAAAAATGATCCTCTTTGGTTGTATTGGGGTTTTATTTAGTCAGACCTCTTCTAAATTGAAGCAACAATTTTTGGTATGGTTGTAGAAACCAAACTGCACATAATCCTAAAACCTTGTTCGCTCAAGCTAAGTTCTGGGTGCACACTACCTGTGATATCAGTTTGGGGAGCAAAATCAATACCTCAATTGAGGAGACAAAAGTACATTTCTGAAACACCAAATAACAGAGGGCAACTTGTGATGAATGGCACAGATGAGTAATGCTAGAGCAGCTCACAGGTGGAAACTCCTTGAGGATGGGTTGGGCTTGGGGGGTGGGAGTGTGAAGGCTTTGCTGAAGCAGCAAGATGAAACACATGGGGACCAGTTAAGCTGCCCAACACTTTGGGAAGCCAAGGTGAGAGGAGTGCCTGAACCCAGGGGTTCGAGACCAGCCCGGGGAACTTGGTGAGACCTCGTCTCTACAAAAAATTAGCCGGGCGTGGTGGCGCATGCCTGTAGTTCCAGCTACTTGGATGGTAGAGGTGGAGAGGTCACCTGAGCCCAGCAGGTCGAGACTGTGGTAACTGAGCATGCCACTGCACTCCAGGTTGGGTGACAGACTGAGACTCCAACTCAAAAAAAAAAAAAAAAAAAAAGGGCTGGACTCGGTGGCTCAGCCTGTAATCCCATGCTTTGAGAGGCTAAGGTGAGGGAATTGCCTGAGCCCGCGGGTTCGCGACCTGCCTGGGCAACTTGGCGAGACCTCGTCTCTACAATAAATCAAAAATTAGCAGGGCGTGGTAACGCATGCCTGTAGTTCCAGCTACTTGGAAGACTGAGGCAGAAGGATCACTGGAACCCAACTAGTCTAGGCTGCAGTGGCCGGGAGTGGCCACTGCACTCCAGTCTGGGTGACAGAGTGAGACTCCAATTCAAAAAAAAAAAAAAAGAAAGAAAGAAAAAAGAAATAAGTCTCTTGTCGGATCTTATCCTAGTTCAAATATTGCTTTTGTCCAAACTTTTTAGTGGGGCATTCAGAGCCTTTTCAAGATCTGACCCTAATGACCCTTTTTTCTTTGTACCACACACTCTTCCAAATATCCTATGCCCTGGCAAATGAGGCTGCCCACCACTTGTGACTGTGCATGTTACCTTGTTGCCTTCACAGTCTCTTATTCCTTCCTCCCGGGATGTTAACCCTAAATCATCAGTTAATTTCAGAGCTAGGGCTAGAACTTTGGTTTCCTGTGTTTATGCTCTTTATAGTTTGGGTGTTGGATTGTGGGAGTGCCAGAAATGTGTCTAGAAGTGTGGTCACAGAAGTACTTGCCAACTTTCAATGATTCTGTCCTCGTCTCATCCCATTCGGCTCTTCCTTTGATTACCTTCTATCACATTAGAATTTTTGTTTACTGAAGGCAAAGATGATATATGTCTTAATTCATCTTTGAGTAACTTCCCCCAGCACGCTACTGTCTTGCTGGTGCCTAATAAATGTTTGAATAAGCCAGCCAATATAGATTGCATATCTAGGCAGTAAAGCCCTTACCAGGAGTACATTCTTCAACTCTATCACATTTTGAAATACAGACAACCAAGTTGGAACTAATTGGGCATGCTTGAACCTGCTGTGATGTTATGCTGGTGAAGTTTGGGGGAAGTTTGAGTTGTTCCTACAGGATTACAAGACTCTGATGATGTAAACCTAGAATTATGACCTCATTGTGGGCGCAAGCAGGAAATAGGTAAGGCATGAGCAGGAAGAAGTTTCTGGGCCCAGTAAAAAATGTAGGTAGACTTAGCATTAGGTAGCAGCTGTTGGGAACTTGTCCCCACTCATAAGATCCTGAAGCGCCCTCTGTTTACTCTTGCCAGTCAGTTAGAACTTGCTTCTGCCTCTGTGTTAGCCAGCAAGAGGTATTTCGAGGGCTGTGCCCAGCAGTACCCCACTGTCCAGCAGAACAGTAGGGGAGCGAAGTGGCCTAGATCTACTGTGGACTACCCGACTGTTTGCCTGCCTGTCTGCCATCTCTTCACCTCATTCTTAACACTGACATCTACCGTTGGCTTGGAAATCAGAAACCTATAGCCATCTAGATGGTAAACCATTACGAAGGAGTAATTATTTGTTTTATAGCTATTCATACTTAGTGGAACTTAAAGTTGGTAAAGTTTGGATCTAAGGGTAATCTTGGCTACAGAGATTCATCTGGATTGAACACCTCTGTTGTTTCACTGAAACTTTGGCTTGCTCTTACAGATTGATTTTGATGATGTGGCCGCAGTAAATCCAGAACTTTTACAGCTTCTTCCCTTATACTCAAAGGACAATCTGCCCCTGCAGGAAAATGTAACAGTCCAGGTGGGTGCCTGCCATCTGGCTGCAGCCAGTGCTCCAGAGGATTTACTTCTCTTATTGGCTCTTTGCTGATTATTTTTCTGGGACTGCCTGGGACTTCAAAACAGTGCATGGGCCTTTGAGAATTGATAAGAACCATGTCTTGTGTTTTGTTTTGTTTTTCAGAAGCAAAGACACAGATCAGTTAACTCCAAAATCCCTGCTCCAAAAGAAAGTAAGTGAATTTCTTTTTTTCCCCCCTAAGTCGGAGTCTTACTCTGTCACCCAGGCTAGAGTGCAGTATCACAGTCACGGCTACCGCAGCCTCAACCTGCTGGGCTCATGCGAACTCTTCCGCTTAAGCCTTCTAAGTAGCTAGAACTACAGGTGCATGCCACTATGCCTGGCTAGTTCTTCAATTTTTTAATTTTTTTTTTTTTTTGAGTTGGAGTCTCACTCGGTCGCTCAGACTGTAGTGCAGTGGCCGCTCCTGGTCACTGCAGCCTCGACCTGCTGGGCTCCAGCAATCCTTCCACCTCAGCCTTCCGAGTAGCCGGAATTACAGGCGCGCACTACCACGCCAGGCTAATTTTTTTTTTTTAATTTATTGTAGAGATGAGGTCTCGCCAAGTTGCCCAGACGGGTCTCGAACCCGCGGGCTCAGACAATCCACTTACCTCAGCCTCCCAAAGGCGCGGGATTATAGGCTGAACCACCAAGCCCAGCTAATTTTTTGAATTACTATAGAGATGAGGTCTCTCCAATTTTCCCAGGTGGGTCTCGAACCCGCGGTCTCAGGCAATCCACTCACCTCAGCCTCCCAAAGTACGGGATTACAGGCTGAGCCACCGAGCCTGGCTAATTTTTAAATTTATTGTAGAGGTAAGGTCTTACCAAATTGCCCAGGCGGGTCTCGAACTCGCAGGCCCAGGCAATCCACTCACCTTAGCCTCCCACGGCGTGAGATTACAGGCTGAGCCATCGAGCCCAGCTTAACTGGATTTCTATTGGATTATTATCATGGAGTTTGTACCAGGAATGCTGTTTCTAGGACTCAGAGGTGTGGAAGCTCCACTTGATCATGTGACTTCTATGACTGAGTGCTGCCCTGTGTTCCAAACATCTTTCCTGGTGAGGACAAATCCAACCTATAGCTATTAGGCCAGCCTCTAAGGGACCTGGTACATTTGGGAACTTTATTGCGTGACCTAGAAACCTTTCCTGTAGAATCCAGGGTCTGATGCTGAGGAGAGAAGAATCAGCCACTGGCAGGCTTATTTTCTTCCCTCAGGAGAACAAGTTCTCTTGGAGTGAAGCTTTGAGAAAGGCAGTGTGTTTAGACATGCAGTCAATGGTGCTATGGAGATAGCGGCTGGGGCAGGGAATAATAATAGCAATGCCTCATGGTCTAGGAGAAGGTTGGGCACTCTGAGGAAGTAGCTAGGCTAAACCTACTTGGCTATATGCCAGACTATTGGTGGGTAACTGCCCAAGAAACCCAGCTTATTACTCAGAGACAACTATACCCTCAAGACTGGTGAGCCTGCAAAGCTATCTAGATCCAAGGGTTATCACTACCATGAAATGATCTAGTTACCTCAGGGACCCAGAGAATACTTGGCTGGAGCTTCAGGATCTGGGGGCCCTGGGTGAAGGGTGGTACCTTGCAAGCTCGACCTGGGCGTGGGTGGTACTGTGCTGACCCTCTCTTGGTGTACTATAAGTGCCTGCAGGAGAGATGGGAATGACAACAATCTCATTCCATATGCATGTCCTCAAGGGATATTGCCACAGCTCTTTTTTTTTTTTGAGTTGGAGTCTCACTCTGTTGCCAAGACTGGAGTGCGGTGGCCGCAGCCTTGACCTGCTGGGCTCCGGCAATCCTTCCACCTCAGCCTTCCAAGTAGCCGGAACTACAGGCATGTGCTACCATGCCCGGCTGATTTTTTGATTTATTGTAGAGATGAGGTCTCGCTTCCCAGGCGGGTCTCGAACCTGCGGGCTCAGGCAATCCACTCGCCTCAGCCTCCCAAAGGCGCGGGATTACAGGCTGAGCCACCGAGCCCGGCACCACAGCTCCTTTTAATGGAAAAAAAAAATTCATAATATACATGCTATTCAATAGTAGAAACGAAACAAGATTACAAATCATTTGGGAAATAAAATTATAAAAATTCAAGACATGGATTATACAGAGCTACCAGCCTAAATGTATGACATTCCGAAATTCAGCACAAGTTGGTGTTTGCCTACATAACACTATATGTTCTGTTTTCAGATATATGACTTCTTGTATTTTATAGGTGACAAATTGTCTTTTTTTTTTTTTTTTTATGGAGTCTCACTCTGTTGCCCAGGCTGGAGTGCAATGGCATGCTCACAGTCACTGTAGCCTCGATCTGCTGGGCTCAGACTATCCTTCCGCCTCAGTCTTACAAGTAGTTGGAACCACAGGCACACACCACTGCCTGGCTAATTTTTTTATTTACTACACACACAAGGTCTCGCCAAGTTGCCCAGGCTGGCCTCAAACCTGTGGGCTCAGGCAGTCCTCTCACCTTGGCCTCCCAAAGTGCTGAGATTGCAGGCGTGAGCCGCTGCACTCCAATGTTTGTCTTTATGGAGGAGAACTATGTAGATGAGTAGAGATTGACAAGAATTCAAGTGTAAATCAATAGTTTTTCTCAGTTAAGCAGTCTTCAAAGATTCTAGAAAATCATTGTAGCTAATTCCGTAGGTTTCTGATGATGTGGCCCAGGCCTGGCTCTGTGAAACATCCTGGGGCTGTGAAAAAAGCCCAAACTCTAATCTGACAGCCCTGGATTCACATCCTGGCCTTGGCACATTGGACAAATTACTTAATGTGTCTGATCCTTAATGTCCTCTTCCATGGGCATTTTTTTTTTTTTGAGTTGGAGTCTCACTCTGTAGCCTAGACTGAAGTGCAGTGGCATGCTCCTGGCCACCGCAGCCTCAGCCTGCTGGGGCTCTGGCAATCCTTCCACTCAGCCTACCAAGTAGCCAGAACTACAGGCGTGCGCTATCACACCTGGGTAATTTTTGATTTCTTGTAGAGACGAGATCTTGCCAAGTTGCCCTGGTGGGTCTTGAACCCGCAAGCTCAGGCAATCCACTCGCCTTTGCATCCCAAAGTGCTGGGAGTACAGGCTGAGCCACTGAGCCCGGTCTGAGAATATATATACTATTTTGAGGTATAGGAAGATTGTACAATGGTAGGTACCACTGCTATCAAGGTGAATAATACTTTTTCTCAATGACTTCTATGAGGTCTCTCTCCAGAAATTATTTCAAATTGGCTGTAGGTCCTTCCATTTACTCAAGACAGATATTCCTGTGGGAGATATTTTTGCCCTTAGGAGCTCCTGAATTTGCAGAATGTAATCACATAGGTTTTAGAGTCATTGGTACTTGGTCTTTCTAATTTTTTCCTTCCCTTGGGGAAGGAATATGGAAAGTTGGTGGGCTCCTTTCCTGGTTGCCGAGATCCATCTCACCTTGTGCAGAGCCTTAGAGTTTTGCCTCTGACCGCCTTTCTCATCACACAGTACTGACTGGCTACTGCTCTTGGTTCTCCAGGACTTCGAAGTCGCTCCAGTCGTATGTCTACCGTCTCAGAGGTCTGCATCAACACTCAGGAGAATGATATGGAGGTGGAACTGCCTGCATCTGCCAGCTCCCGCAGGCAGTTTTCAGTTCCCAGTGAGTAATGAATATGCTTCCCCGTTTGCAGCCCTGGAGCAGGCTCCTCACACGTTGCTCAGTGTCTGTGCTGGAACAGCCTAGGAATCCTCCACTACCCCAGATTTAGTACTGTTCTGCTCCTGCCCGGCCCACACTGCTCCTTATCTGGAAATCATCTCATTTTACTTTTTTTTTTTTTTTTTTTTT